AAGTAGGATTTCGTGGTGGGCAGTGGGGAATGTCCTTTAAGTACCCAGTCCTCCCTGTAGAATTTGAGATTCTGATTTTCTGGCCCTATGGCTCTGGCCTTATCTTTTGCCTAGGTGGCCAGCCAGTTTTCCTAAGGAAACCCACCCAGTTGAAAAGAGCCACCAGAAGAAGCAAGCCAGAGACCCCTGACATGATGCAAAGGAAATGTTCTCCTAATTTCTCATGAGAGGCTACAGTTGCATATGGCTGTTTGCTCTTTAGCTATTGTGAGCCTTTGCTCTGCTGGGATTGAGTCCAGGCAGCCTGGAGCAGGTCTGGACGAGAGCTCTGTGGCCTCAGTCCAGACAGGACCACGGGCGATGGCCATAGCAAAATGGCCTACCATCACAGACTTTGAGCTCCTCTGGACAGACCTGGGGGTCTTCAAGCTCAGCTGTGTGTCATGTGAGTGCATGCAGTGTGACGAGGGTCCTCATCAGACACCCCCTCTGAGGCTGTCCAGACAGCCACTATATCAAGAGTGTAGCCAGGTTCTAGAATGCCCTGTTGAGCTTGCCCCATATGCTTCTGAAGATGGGAGGAGCTGGCCAGGAGCACTTTTCCAGAGGTGTTTGGGGCTCGGGGTTCAGGGCTCAGCTTCCATTTGGTGTATTTGGCTGAGTGCCCCAATGGGTTCCTCTGAGATTTTAGGGAAAACACTTTTATATTCAAAAAAGGTTGGGGCTCAAGTGTAGAATTCACGTGGATTTTTAGGATAAGCAACAAGACATTGGAGGGATCAATTGAGGTGGGCTTAGTTCCTGGCACTGGGGCTCTGATTTTTTTGGGGGGCCCGGGAATCAAACTCGGGTCCTTGCGCTTGCGCAGCAGGCGGCGAAACCACTGAGCTAAATCCCCCGGCCTGGGTCTCTGCTTTAACTGACCCCTTCCTGGACAGAGGCATGGTACAGATGGAGCCTCAGGAGTGCCAGCCTGGCCAGGTGCCCTTCGCTCCTGAGTTTTGGCTCCTGCTCACCTGACTCATTGGGCAGGTACATGGCTTCCTTCCCCTTTGAATGTGGCATGCCCCCAGGAAGGAACCAGGTACCTACCTGTCCCCATGAGGAGCACAGACTCTTGGAACCAGGAGGAGCTCCAGGGTTATTTTGGCTCATATGATAGATGGGGAAACTGAGACGTTGCCAGAGGGAGTAATGCCTATGTGAGCCTGGGCCCTGGGTGATTTGGCCCAAGGCTAGCAAGCATCACTCCCCTGGTTGTGGTGGTCCCCTACCACACTCTGACCTTTGTAGCCTTGCTTGCAGGTCCTGTGCTAATAGGGGTCTGCCTTATTTGCCTGGGGCCTCCTTGCTGAGCCTGATTCCTGCTGTTTCCATGGTACCTTCCTTCTTAGGCAGTGCTGGCTTAACTGTTTGTACAACGTGCTGTGGCATCTCTGTAGGCTGTACCTCAGCAGCCCAAGGTCCTGGTGCAGGCCGTTGTGCATAGGGTTGTGTAGTAGATGGATCCAGGGCTCTCTTGCTTTTCCTGCCCTCCAGCCTTGGCTCTAGCAAGGTTGCTACACATGTCTTAGACTCCTTCAATCTATTTTTTTTTTTAAAGGCTCCTGGAGAAGCTCCTTTAAAGTTGTCTCTTAACCTGGATACAGGTAGGGATCCCCACACAGTATCTACTTGCCCTTCCTTGGTGGCCAGGTATTAGGTAGGCACACAGGCCTTGCTCTGCCACTTCCAGTATGTGCAGCCAAGGGTGTTCATTATCTCCAGCCCCGAAGTGGGGGTGCGGGTGCTCTAGCCCTGGGGACAGATAGAAGTTCATACTGTACCAGGGTCTGACATCAGGCACCTTGAGAAGGTGCTGTCACCCCTGCTGGTGAGTTAACCTGGTACAGTCCTGCATCCTGTGTATAGATGTGTCCTGCCTGTTCCCTGCTCTGGGATAGGAGGCCAGACTTAGGATAGGAGTTCTTCAAAGCATCCACTAACAAGCTGTATTCTTAAAGGGCATGTTTAATGAAAAAGCCAGCCCCATTGAAGCAAGAGCTGACCTGACCCTGCCCTGAACATGCCCAAGATCCTTTCCCCCTTTTCCAAGGTTTAAAGGCCTAATGCTAATATTAGTGCCAACTTGCCCAGTGCTCATGGTGATTTGGGCAGCTGGTTCCCCTCTGGCCTGTGCAGTGTCCCTTTCTGGTCTGCTACCTTGTGCTGCTATTACTTCTCTGTTGCTGTTCAGGTACCTGTCCCTCCTCTCCCATTCCTTCTTCTGGTCCAGCTTCGGAGGCCTAGGGCGCCATTGTGTTTTGTGTACCCAGCATACCAATGGCACTCAGTAAATTCCTTCTCCTCTGCTGGGTCCCAGTGCCCAACAGGATGCCTAGCTTGTGATTGTTAAGAGGTCCTTGCTCACTACCTATGCACTCCTGTAGTGCCTTAACATCATCAGTGGATGTGACACATAGGCCTTAGACCCTCACAGTCCCTGGTGATTATAGCTGTCCATGAGATTGTTTCTGTTTTCCTCATGGACAAACTGAGGCTTGGGTGATGTGGTCTTGAGACCATAGTCTGATCCACTGAGGTTTAGCCCTGAGGCCATGTCCTACCTGACAAGGGAGGCCCCTGGGGGTGTCTAGGCAAGTGTGAGCTCTATTCCCCTCTACCCTTTCCGTCTTTACCTCCTACCAGTGATCTCTTGAGACAGCAGCAAGCCATGAGTGATTCCTAAGCTTGACAATGTGTACATGTCACACAATTGGTTCTTCTCCCATAGGAAGGGGCCAGAGGGGCCCTCAACCCATCGTATGACAGCATTGGCCCTTTCTTTTCAGTCTTTACCCCTTTTGTAGGAAGTGGTGGCCATTCTTCACCAGGAGGGGATAGTACAAAAGTGTCCTTTTTAAAAAAGTTGGCCCCTTTGGTCCTTTGTCCCTGCTTAGAGAACCAGAATCCAGAGGATAGGAAGAAGGGCTGCAAGACCAGGCTTATAGGAATAAAGGCCAGAGCTGCGGGATGGGGAAGTCTGGGACACTGAGGTTGGCATATCCTTTGATGAGGAGAAGTCAGGAGGTCCATGTGGGTTTGGGACATTACCATGGGTGAAGCAGAACCCGCCTTGAGAAAGGAGTGCAGAGGTTCTTGGGACACAAAGGCTCTGTGCCCCACATGTGAGCCACAGAACTCAGGTTTGTCTCTTTAATCTAAAAAAAGCAGGTTTTCGTAGTTTTGCATCTGGACATTGGGAAAGAACCCTTGAAACCACCAGGTTTTATTACCCAGATGATAGAAGCTGATGTCCATGAAGAAGGATTCTAATGGGTACATTGTTTTGTCCCCAAGATGCCCCTCCACCTCTGGGCTCTGTGCGTCCATGAGATTTAGGAGTCTCTGCTGCAGAGATCCCCAGTGCTGTCCTCAGGACTGGGCTAGCCAGCTGATTCTCTGTGGGGCTGAGGGTGGAGGGGTGAGCACTGCATTCTGTCCTCTAAGCCTGTGGAGGTCCCATGGCAACCTCAGGATCCAAGCCAGCCCTGTTGATCTGTGGGGTCATCCTCCCCAGCACATATTTGTAGGCCTTGCTGCTGAGAAAGCTAGAGCAATGCCCTCACCTCAGTGGAGGCCTCCATCCCAACTGTTTGCCTAGGGCATCTATTGGAGCAGGTGCCAGGCACCAACTGGGTAGGCTCTGGCCCTCATTACCATGTCATTGGATCACACACTGAATATCTGAGACCCTGTAGCACCCAAGCTCTGTCAGACTCAGCAGCCCCCAAATTATGTGCATCTGGTTCTAGGCCTGGCCTGTGGTGGGGAATGACAGAAACTCATTGCCCCACCCTATGGCGGTCCCTGTAGCATTTGTGCATTGCCTGCCTTTGGTGGTCCCAGTGCCATGCCCTATGACCCCAGCCAGGTCTGTGGCACTTTCATTCTGCATGCCTGTTATCAGCAGGACCATGTGGTGTGAGGAATCTGCATGGGGTCATACTTGTCCCAGGCCTTGGGAAGACATGGACACCTCTTGGAAGGTGGGGGCATCAACCTTCTGAGGGATCTCAGCTGGCGAGCCATGGCTTCAGTGGAGGAGCAGACTAGCCAGGTGCAGGAGGAGCACCTTCTGAGCAACTGCCTCATCTATCCACAGACTACTAGCCACAAATGAGGGCTCCCTCAGTTGTCACAGTCATTGGGAAAACCCTGTGTCTACCATCAGTGGAAAATGAGGCTCCACTTGTGGTGGTAGCCTAAGGCTTAGCAACCCAAAGCTGCCTTCTTAGTGCTGGTATCAGGCTGGCACTGCTCCTGTATACCCCAACCTGGGAGGAGGATTGGAAGGAGGAGGCCCAAGTGTTTCTCAGAAGTTGAGCCCAGGGCTGCCCTGCCATGGAAGAGCTTCAGAAGAAGGCCAATGCTTTAGGCCATTGCTCTGAGGTTTGGGGGCTGTGAGGGGAAGGCCAGTACCTGAAACCTCATCCAAGCGTAAACTCAGGCAGTTTGATAGAAATAGCTGAAGCTTATCTTAGCCCAAGGTGGAAATGGATTATTGTTATAGTATGCTTTAGAATCCCCCAGGTACCATGTGCATGACCATGATATGGGGTTAAAAAGCTGTGGATAATTCAAATGTGGCTACTACTCTGGGTTTTTTGTTGTTGTTGTTTTTTGTTTTTTGAGGTGGAGGTGGTGCTGGGGATGTAGCCCAGGGCATTGCCATGCTTAGGCAAGTGCCATACCGTGAGCTACACCCCTAGCCCCAAGATTTGTGTGGGGGCACGTACTGGGAATCGAAGTCAGGACCTTCTGGCTTGGCAGGCAGGTACGGTGCCACTGAGCTCTATCCACACACACCCCCCCTTTTTTTTTTGCGTGCTGGGGATTGAACTCAGACATGCTAATAAGCACTCCCCTTCCCTGATGCTACTTCTGTTGAACAATGGCCTTGGTCTGGTTGCAGGAATACTGGTTTCATCTACAGAATTGACACTTTTGTTTTTTTGTAGGATGAAACAGGTGCCTATTTAATCGACAGAGATCCCACCTACTTTGGACCTGTGTTGAACTACTTGAGACATGGAAAGCTGGTTATTAACAAAGATCTTGCAGAGGAAGGTACATTGTCCTTTTTGCACTGAGAACTTGGCTTTGGGGCTAGGTACTTATGAAGGTGCTGGTTGGTCTACTTCTGTGTAGATGTTTTGAGCCAGAGTCACATGCCAAGCAGTGGCCCTCAAGCATGTGGCTGAACTAGAGTCTTGGGTGCCGAGGCCCAGTGCTTCTTCTGAAGACAAGGGCCATGGGTCTTGGGTTGCTCTGTCATGATTCCTGCAGGCCTATTGGGGTGAGACTGCTCAGTGGCTTGTCAGGATTGCTATGGTCAAGGGTCACTTTATGGGCAGTTTTCCAAGTGTTTGGTTAGTGCTGAGGTATGAATGGGCTCCCCACTTTTTCTCACAGGTGTTTTGGCTGCCATGGTCTGAGGCCATGTGTCACAGACATGCCTATGGTAAGCCTTGGGCGGCTGCCTGTTTTCCTTCCAGGACAGCTCTGGCTTAGCAGGCATTCCATATTGTCACTCTATCTCTGGCCACTCCACTGCTTCTCTGCCTAGTCACAGAGCACAAGACACACTCCCAGATGCAGGCTGCCTGGCACCAGCCCCTAGGCTGGCCTGTCACATACAGTATCTTGGTGTTAGCTCAGAACAGCAGGCCCAGTTGGGTGTCGTGGTGCATTTCCATAACCTTAGCACTTTGGGAGGCTGAGGCAAGACTATCACAAGTTCAAGCCCAGTCTGTGCAACTTAGCATCTTAGTGAGACCTATCTCAAAATAAAAAATTAAAATAAAAAAAAGAAAGGCCAGTGGTTATTTCTAGAAGCCCTAGGAGGTTCTGGCTCCTTTCTTGGAATGGTTGGTCTGGACTGGAGACCACAGATTTTCTCCCTTCAGCTCCTGTCTTCCTTTCTTTTCTCTGGGCCTATCTGTTATCTTCCTGTGCTCATGCACCCCCCAGGGTACTGTCCTGTCGTCTGAGTTGTTGCTCAGCTTAGATGTGGAGACATGGCTCTGCCTGAGGCTGTGAGGATGTTTCTTGCCCATATCCAGTGGCAGCTTGCTGTGTGGGGTACCCTTCTCTCCTACCCTGTTTGGAGTGTGCAACTCCAGGTCTCATTTCCCATAACTCTCCATCTTTCCCACATCACTGTGCATTGTCCTGAGCTGTTGTGGCCTAGACATGGTTTCCTTTGGAGGGGCTGAAGAAATGAGGTTGGGAGTCTATACCTACAAGGAATCCCTGAAGTGTAGGGCTCTGGGAATTTACCCTAGGTTTCTGGGAGGTTTTGAGTCCCTGAGTATGGGACGTTGCTGGTGGCAGGCTTTGCAAAAGGCAGTGGAGCTGAGAGCAGCCCTCAGCCAGCCAGCCTTCACTTAACTAGGGAAACTGAGATGTGAGTGACTCAGACATACACACCAGGATGAAGGTTTCCGGGGTGCAGAGGAAAAGCACCAGTCATTCCCCAGTGTCTATGGGATTAGTGCAGCTTGTCTGCCCTGCATATCACCTGGAGTAGTGATAGTGCCCAGTGTGTAAACCTAACTATCCCTCAGTTTTCCCCTCTGCCCCTGATGAGCAGTGTGAGCTGCAGGCCTGTGAGGACATTAGAATGGGCTGGGGATGGGGATGGGGACAGGTGGGAAATGTTTATTCTTTGATGTGGTGAAAATCTATTACTTTCCTCTATTCCAGGAGTGTTGGAGGAAGCAGAGTTTTACAATATCACCTCACTAATAAAACTTGTAAAGGACAAAATTAGAGAACGAGACAGCAAAACGTCACAGGTAAGACAGTGACTAATATGTAGGAAGTTTTCAAGCCCAGTGTATGAGCACACCTTTCCCTTCTTTCTGCTGGGTGTAGACCACGCTCTCCTGCCCTGTCCTGGTGCCCTGTAGCCCCTCTTGCAGCACCCCAAACAGGACCCATATACCTCTGCCCAGCTCAGTGAGCCATGCTTCAGTGGGAAGAGACAGATGATGTAAGCCAAGCTAAACTTCTCATCTGTTAAAAAGTCAGAGAGAGAGAGAGAGAGAGAGAGAGAGAAAATACATAGCTGTATGGAGGTTAGGCATGGGAAACACTGGAGCAGAGGATGCCTAGTGATGGGAATGGGAGAGCTGGGAGTCCTCTGATGGGAGGGCAAATCCAAATGGCTTGTGGCCATTGTGGCTGGAGGAAGGGCAGTGATGAGGTGGTCAGAGCAGGGACTGGGATCTGTGCAGGCACGAGGAGGACTTCGGTTTTCCTGAAGAGAGTGAGGTTGTGCTCAGGGGTGATGCCACATGCTTTCTGCTGACCCTCCTAGGGACCATCACTCGTAGCCACCATTAGTGGTCCCACTGCTGCCCCTGAGGCTAGTGCTGTCTGGGGTAGGATCCACCTTGCGAAAGAGGCACCAATAAGTCTCGGCCACTGGTCTTGTCACTATGCCAGGTCTGTGCTTGAGAGCGGCTGGTTCTGCATCCAGGAGAACGAGGTGAAATGGAGTTCAGTAGTGCACTGTTTGCAACCCTCTGCTGCCCCCACCCCCATAATGGGCTTTCCGCTGCACAGCTGATGACCCTGAGTCAGAGCTCTCCGCCTTGTAAAGAGGAACAAAATGGCCTGGCCACTTACTAGCTTGTCAGTCACCAGGCCAAGGGAGATTTGTGCCTGTGGCCTGCTCTCAGCCCTTTCCCCTTTGGTGGAGCCTGCTGAACACTGGGGAAAGTCCCAGGGAGGGCCTCCTTGTCTTCGGGGCAGTAAGCAGGTCCAGGGGACTCCTTGGTCCCCTTATTTATACGCTTTGCCTCTTCTTTATCCCCTACCCCACAACTCTATGACCTGGGCGCCATTGAACCTTGCTGTGTTAGTTTCTGTCCCACTCAGTGAGGTGGGAGAGACTTTCCTCACAGGGCCAGGCCTCACAGTAACATGTGTCAGCCAATGCAGGTCACTATCCAGCAGATGAAAGCACCTTGGGACAGCAAGGCCAGTGTGTGACTTTGTCGCTGTGTGTCACTGGCATGAGTCACTGTAGAATACCTGCATGACCTGGGCCCTCATCTGTTCTGTATGTACTGTCACCTGTGGGAGCAGCTCTGGGAGGGCAGACCCTGGTCTTGCTTGCTTGCCCATGTGCCAAGCACCAAAGCTACTGGAACCCAATGCCGGAAGTCCTATGGGGTAGGCAGCACCAGGAGGCAGGTTTGGTGATCCTGAGACATCAGGCTGTGCTGTGGCATGTGACAAGAGCTTTACCTAGGTGCAAGAGCAAACTGTGTCCAAACTTTCCTGCTGGGTCTTCTCCAGGGTTAAGCACTGAGACCAGTATGACCGCATGTGGAATAGAGGCTGATGTTCCTGTGTGTTTACGGGTGCTCTCAGAAGTGTGACCCTTTTTTAACTTTTTCCTTTTTTTTTTTTTTTTCCAATTTAAAAGTAGAAATATTTTGGAGGGCAAATGAAGGGGAATGGCACATGGCAGCTCTTGAGGCACAAGTTAGCTGTGTGCAGGGTGGCTCTGGGCACTGTGATCTGTGGGACACCGGCAGGGTCCTTTGCTTGGGTGTGAGGTGTGGCCTTGTCTCATGGTGGCCCTTGTCCTTGCAGGTACCTGTGAAGCATGTGTACCGCGTGCTGCAGTGCCAGGAGGAAGAGCTCACACAGATGGTGTCCACCATGTCTGATGGCTGGAAGTTTGAGCAGGTGACAGGCTGCTGGCTGAGGCTGCCACTCCAGGGATCAGTGAGGAGGATTCTGTCTCAGAACTTCCTGGAGATGGTCCCCTGAGGTCCCTTAGCCTCCCCCTCCCCCCCAGCACAGTGACTATGGAGTTTGGGCATGGAGGTGCAACTGTTGAAAGTCCCCCCCCTTCACCACCCTGCTTTCTGCTGGTTTTGACCCCTTCTCCAGGGACTTCTCTCTGCTACCTTGGGCCCTCTGTGTGTGGTGCTGCCCTGCTGAGCAACACTGGCCAGGCAGTGGGTATACACAGGGGGCTTTTGTGTCCCTTCCCTCCTGAGGGTTTAGACGTGGGGACCTGTAGGCTGAGTTGTGTGTGTCTCATTCCCAGAGTCCATGTTGTCCCGGGCATGTGACCCAGGAAGGGCCAGGCACTGAGACACTGCTATCATCAGTCCTAGATTTGTGACCTGGGTTGTCCTTGTTTGAAATTGGTGCACTGTGTCCTCTTTTGCTGTCTTGTGACTTTTGCAGGGTGTGGGAAGAGCATCCCTTCCCAAGACTGGCTTTAGGACTTTGTCCTCAATTGTCCTGGGTGACCCTAGACCCAACTCACAGGATGTACCTCCTCCCACTTGATTCTGACCTTTGTACAGTCATCCCTGGGGACATCTCCATGCAGTCAGATTATGCTGGTGAAACCCCAAGTGCCTGAGTCATATAGGCTAATAAGGAACACTTCTTCCCCAAAGCACGGCCAGAGGTATGGATAGATAAGCAGACCTGGGGACCCACGGCCTTGTGAGATGACCAGATCCAACCCAGGGTTATTCAGGAAGTAATGAGGCCAGAACACGGTTACCTTGTGAGAACATAGGGTCTCTGGAAGACATAGACAGATGTACTCCTTCATCAGTGCACCTGCTCCTGCAGGGGTGACCACTCACTGTGGAGACTGCTGTCCTGACCTTGCTCCTGAGGCTAGGGCAGGTCAGTATTTCAGTCACTGTCTGGCTCAGTAATTCTGCCATTAACATTTTTATTACGGTGTTGGTAAGTTGACTTTTAATTAATTTTGTATTTTAAAGAACAAAGTGCTTGGTAGTTGTGGGGTAGGTTTGTCCCAGATGTATGGCTAGAGTAGCAGCCCAGCCCACGGCCCCAGTCCTGCTCCATTTTGGCTTGATGTCCTGGGGTCTGCAAGGCGGGTTGCAGTGGCAAGGGTGTGCCCACAGGCCACAGCCAGCTCACCGGTCAAGGTGTAGGAACCATAGCTCTTGGTCGACCCTCTGGGCTTCAGAGTTGCCCTGTCTCTGCCTTCCTTCGTGCCACTTCTGGGCACAGTAATGAGGATCCCTGCCCTGAGCTGGGAAGTAGGATCAGTCCACAGAGGTCCTCCTTCCCAGGAAGGGTCTGCTGATGGTCGTGGGGATGGACAGGACGCCAAAAGCAAGGCCTCATGACGCATGTCACAAGATCTGGGCCCTTCTGTTTGTTGCACTCTCTGGGGTAGTCAGTCAGTGTCCCCTGTGGGCCTAGCTGGGAATGCTGAACGCAGCTCAGCGACCCATAGGGCAGAACCTGTCCTGGCATGTTATGTGATTGCGAGGTGTTGGCACAGGTGCACTCTTGAAGGTGTCATGGGTCTGCTTCCCCCAGCTCATCAAAACCAAAGCCAAAGCCACCACTGTCTCCTGAACCCTGAGTTTTGCCACAGTCTTCTTCCTGGTGGGATGCATGTGATACTGCCTGTGTCTCCCTTCCCAGCTGGTCAGCATTGGCTCATCATACAACTATGGAAATGAAGACCAGGCTGAGTTTCTTTGCGTGGTCTCCAAGGAGCTGCACAACACTCCATACGGCACAGCCAGTGAGCCCAGTGAGAAGGCTAAGGTGAGTGCCAAAGGACCTGTTCCCAGCCCTCCTTGTAGGCACACTTTCAACAGGTTGTGCTTTGAAAGTGCTGCCTAGTACTGCCTCATTGTATCTTGCTGTTCTCGCTAGGCTTACAGCCACCAGCTCCCAGGGGCTCACCTGCAAGGCTGCCTGATTTGGCCAAGCAGCTGCTCCTGCCACCAGATGCTGATCTGTGCTTCCTCAGCACATGCACGGAGCTACTCCTGCAGGTGTCCCCCATACCTGTGGCAGGGGCTCCATGTGTTTGGTCTGCCGCTGTGGGTTGCTCTCTTGGGGGACCTATGGGTCCTCTGTTCCCAGGAGACAGACCCTGATGTGGGAGAGGTGATAGCCCCCAAGCTGGGGTGGGTTCCCAGCATCAGCAGCCGCCTCAACCATATCCACTGGTCCCTGAGGTATGTGTAATGTAGGAAGGAGAGTGTCCCATGGTCCTACTACTGTTCTGGTTTATTTGGGGTTTTGGGGGGGTTTTTTTTTGGTACCAGGGATCGAACTCGGGTTCTTGCACTTGTGAGGCAGGCGGTGAAACCACTGAGCTAAATCCTCGGCCCTGGTTTATTTATTTTTGAGACAGGGTTTTACTATGTAGTTCAGGCCGGCCTTAAACTTACTGTGTAGCCCAGGCTAGCCTCTACCTTTTAGCAATCCTCCTGCCTTAGCCTCTTAAGTTCTGAGATTATAGTTATGTGCCACCACACCTAGTGGGCCTACTGTTCTGCTCTGTGGGAGCCAGGCTCATTGTCCCCTAGGGAGGTGATGGCAATATAGGGTTTGGCCTGCTTTGTTAGCTTTCTGATTAACCCAATGGCCTGCCCACATATGATCATTTTGGTGGCACATTCTTCCTGGGCCCACATTAAGCTGGTGAGGGCCATAGTGGTGCTGAGGATGTTGTGAGTGAAGCCGGAAGAGGCCAGACTTGGAGCTTGGAGGCTTTTTCTTTTTTTTTCTCAGTGTTACAGATTAAACCCAGGGCCTCACACTTGGGAGGCAATTGCTCTGGAGTGCTCTGCCACTGAGCTACATCCCCACCCAGTCATATGTGTGGGTGTGTGCGTGTGTATATGAGTGTGTGTTACTAGAAATTGAAGTTAGGGAGTGTTAGGCTACAACCTCAGCTCCTTTTTTATTTTAAGACGGTCTTGCTCAGTTGCCCAGACTGGCCTCAAACTTGCCATTCTCCTGCCTCAGGTTCCCAAATAGCTAATTGCAAGTATGGGCTACCACACTCAGCCAGGCTGGATTTTAACTGAGAACATTGCATTAGGGACTCCCTGGCAACCAGACCCTTGGCCAGTAGCTACCTGCCCAGGTCCCTGTGAGTCTTTCCTGGCCTTCTTTGGGGAAGGGGCTTGGGAACTGATGGGCAGAGTCACTTTCTAGGTGTCCAGGCCATGCTGTGGCAGCATCTCACTAACGTGAAGTGGTGTGCGTCTTTGTAGTAGACTGATGATCTGGCCTCAGCCTCCTGTGCCCTGCTGCTGTCCCCCTGTGCTCACTGGCCCTTCTGCCACTGCCACCTTGAGGCCCAGGACGGCATACAGTTGGGCAAGCCCCACAGTGCTCCATAGCAGATGGGGAAATCTGAGGTCTGGTGCCAGGTCCCTGTCAGGCCTAGGAGCCTGGAGGTGCCTTCCACCTCCCTGAGAGAGTTGTGGGGACACACCACTTTCTGTCTTTGAGCAGTGACAAAGCTTTTTTTATAAATTATTTTATTTTTAGAAGCTCTTTATTTCTGAGCTTATAGTTTGCATAACACAGCTCACCAGGGCCCATTTCCTCCAGTGGCTTGTCAGCTGCAGAAGGGAAACATTCTGTGCTGTGAGGAAGCACCAGGCACGACCCCAAGTCCCTTTGCTGTTGAAAATGTGGCCTTGTTTCTCTCTCCAAAACTATCTGGCTCTGAAATGGGGCAGCCTTGCCATCTTGTAAGTGGGGCAGAGGCAACTTACAGGGAACTGAGGCAGGGCCTGGGATGTCTGGAAGCCACATAAAGTCATGGGGGCCAGATCTGGAGGGCAGTGATTTGGGAATACCTTGCACACAGGCTGGATGGAGCACGGTCACACTTTTGAGGGCAACAGTCACCTTAGGGCCTGTGTCTGTGTCTGCTTACTGAGGCTAACAGCTGCCCTGCTCACACTGAGTACTGGTGTATTCTTAACGTTTAATGGCCTCCTGGCATTTCCAGGCAGCATTCTCCCTTTTCAAGCTGGGAGTAGTGGAGTGAGGGACATCAAGGCCTACATTGGGGCCAGTGTGAGGAGTTGGACCAAATGAGAGCAAAAGGTACTGTCCCCATGGGAACACCTTTGCCTCCAACACAGGAGGCAAATGCAGGATGGGGAGCAGACCATTCAGGTTCAAGAATTCCTTAGAGGACTCAGAACTCACCCAGAGTGGTTAATCTCAGGGTCACCTTTGTCACAGAGGAGTGCAGCTGTAGAAGGCACCTGGGGCAGAAGCCAGAGGCACCTCACCAAGAGTCCCACATGCATGGAGCACTGCCCGCCAAGGAAACTCTTGAGTCTCAGGGTCCAGTGTGTTTCTGGGCTTCTATTCCCCAGGATGGCTGACTGGCAGATTGGTTAGTCAGTGCCCACATGGCTGATCAGTCTCAGCTCCTCCCTCCATCAGGCAGCAGTGTAGTCCCTGGGCCCCAGCAGACAAAGGTCCTTCTGTTAGGCAGGATGTTCCAGGAGCCAAGGCCACCTACCAGGCCTCCTTTGGGACAGGACCTGTCCAGGGGATACAGGGAAGGTGCTGCTGCAGGGAGTCAGCCTGTGGGAAGCACCTGAGCCTGTGTTTTCCTTTGTCAGTGGCCTGGTGGGCAACCCTCCCACCTGCCCCAGCTCACACTTGGCTGATGACCATGTTTTCTTCTCCCTTGCTACATGCTGCCCACCACGCCAGAGTGATGATGAGATGGGGGCATCAAGGCAGTGATTCAGATTTAAGTTTAAATGTCATGGTGAGCTCTGTAGCCCTTCAGATTGACCTGGCACTGTAGTCTCCTTGGACCCCGCACTGTAGTCTCCTTGACCCCGTGAGCCTAGTTGACCCTTGCCCCCAGCCCCTCTCCCATATACTTGTCCCCTGCCTATAGCTGACACAACCTCTGTTAGATGTGCTGTAGATTGCAGTAGAGTTGCTTGTGGGGAGCTGGGTTGTCATTTGGACACTGAGCATGGCCCTGCCAGTGTCCCCACCACTGACTTCACAGGCACGAGGATTGGGGCATTTGCTGGCTGAGCCCTTTGTATCAAGACAGGCATGAATGTTCAGTGTGGACATGGGAGCACCTGGGCCAGGCAGCAATGCCCACTTCAGCCTGCCAGCCTCTGAGGGGCAGCCTTTCTGTTTCTTATGAGGCCTGTCTTGGATGCTGAAGCCTCCTTGGCCTGACACTGTTATCATGTTCCAGAGTGATGATCACATCTGCCTGAGCTTGAATAGCCCCTCAGTCCTCCCTGTTTCAGCCTTTTCTCACCTTCTGTGTCTTATAGGCCAGACCTGTGTTGAATCTAACTTTGTTGTCACTTTAGCAGGGATTGCCTGGTGGCTCCTTGACACTCAGGAAGGGAAGGGCAGGGAGCAGGCTGGGAGTCAGGCCAGCCCTGGGGAGGTCCACCACTGCCCTGGGAGCAACCAGCATTCTGGGAGCATAGTGGCACCTGGCCAGGCAATATCTTAGAGGCCAAAGGCCCAGCAAGGGATGGTCTAGGTTGGGTTGCACACTGTGGCCTGAGGGCCAGTGTATGCAGCCCCCAAGATAAGAAGAATCCTTTCTGTTAAATGATTATGTAAATGCCTACACAATATCCTTAGTTTTGCCTCTTGAGCCTCAAAGCCTAAAATATTTACTATCTGGCCCTTTTAAGATAAAAAAGTAAAAAGATACATTAAATTTATGCCAATAATATTAATGTAATACATGCAAAATAAATTTCTTTTCTTTTTTTTTAAGATGAGGTCTTGCTGTGCTGTCTAAGAAGGAGCTAAAGGGGCTGGGATTTAGCTCAGTGGTTCCACTGCCTGCCTCGCAAGCGCAAGGAACCGAGCTCAATCCCCGGTACCAAAAAAAAAGATCCCAAGAAGGAGCTAAATTTGTGGGTTCAGGTGATCCTCACGTCTCAGCCTCCTGAGAAGCTGGGACTACAGGAGTGTGCCACCACACCCAACTAAAAATGTTATCATTTAGTGGTCATAGTAGTGCATGCCTGTAATCCTAGTACTCTGGGAGGATGAGACAGGAAGATCACAAGTTTGAACTCAGCCTGGGCAATTTAGCAACTTAAAACAGACCCTCTTAGGTCCAGGGATTTAGCTCAGTGGTTCTGCTGCCTGCCTTGCAAGCGCAAGGTCCCGGGTTCGATACCTGGTACCAAAACAAACAGACCCTATCAAAAAAAAGGGGGGGTGGGGTGAGGATGTAGCTCAGTGTGAAGGTGCTCGGGTTCAAACCCTAGTACTGGAAAAAACAATTCATGTCACATAAGCACTGAGGTTTTTTTGTTTTGTTTTGGGGGGGGTTGCCCCTTTTCACTCTTAAGCCTCCAAAATGAGGTATGTAGTTTCTGTTACAGCTCTTGTTGGAAACATCCCATTGAGGGACCAGCAACCATGTGGACACCAGGCTCTCAGCTGTGACCTGCCCTGGGGGAGAACTGTGAGGGACACCGGCTCAGGGTGTTGTGGGATCCACAAGAGCATAAGGGAGCCATACCAAACCCCGGTTGGCTGGAGGAAAGGGTCATCTGGAGGATCCTGGGGACTCGGAAGCTGGCCAGCCTCTTAGAGGGTGAAGGGGCTTCTTTTATAGCCCCTCCCTCCCCATTTAACCCCCTAACTCTGTTACTAGGAGTGTGTCCTGGTGACCTCTGCTACAGGGATCTGGGCTGTAGGAAGGTGGCAGGGGTGCCCATGAGAAGAGCCCTGGGGCAGTCCTTGTAACTGGGCCTGCCTGTTGGCCTGCCCTGGTTCCAGCTTCCTGGGTGCCCCAGCTAGTCTTTGTCACTCATCTGGAGCCTGTTTGTAGAAGGTGGTCCTGGTAGGAGTATGCCAAAAGCAGGGGTGTCTGTCCAGGGCAGTGCTGTTACAAGCCCTAAGAAGTTGTCAGGCCACCCCTCCCATCCCAATACTCTGCTGAGCTCAGCTCTGCCCAGGGCTGGTGGCAGATAGGGCTGGCTACCTCAGCAGGAGGGTAGACCATCCTTGAGTCACCTCCAGATGTCTTGGTAAGGTCAGGAATCACTCAAAGTGCTTGCCTTCATTGGGCTTGAGGAGGGTCACACTACTCCCTGCTCTGTAGGAAGTGCCCTCTTGAAGCACTGAGCCAGTGGGTGCTGCAGGCAGTGAGGACCAGCCTGGGGACAAGTGAAGTGTTTGGGGTGCCTGGACAGGTGGGAACTCCTCAATAGGACTTGGCCTTCTTTGAGCCCTCAGGACAGTATCCTGGGAGGCCACTTGTTCCACTGCTACAGGGGCTTGCATAGAGGTGCTTATGGGGGCCAGATGCTGCTGGACCCTGCCAGTGGAGTTGCCAGCTCTGAAGCACCCTGCCTTGGGACTAGAGTCATCTGTTGTCCTCCTGGCCCTCTGGGCTACTACTATAGACTGATTTTGCAGATTTGGCTTAGCAGTATTTGCCAGGGCCCCAGGATGTCATGGAGCCTCCAAGAACTTCCGGCTAACTTGGCTGCATGGCTGGCTGTATTTGTCAGCAAGGGTGGCAGAGCCAGGTCACCTGTAGTTAGGCTTCAAGAAGGAGGAGCTGTGGGCACAGCAGCCAAGGGGAAGCAGGCCCTGCAAGGCTGCAGTCTGACATGGAGGGCATGCCCCAGGGTAACCCACACTTGGGAACGTTTCCGAAGGTCAGGTGGATGTCTTAAGTGGCCCCCAGGGTACAACGTGGGTAGACAAGACCTACTGCTGCAAGGGAGCTGATAGGGTATGGGGGCTGGTCTGACAGAGGAGGAGCAATAGAGAATATAAAGGTCCACTGCTCAAGCAAAGGGACTTGTGTGGCAGCAGAGGTCCATGTGCCTGCAGCTGGGACCCTGCCTTGCAGTACTAGGTTCCTTGAGGCCATGAGCAGCACTCCTCTTGTCACCTACACATCTGCAGGCTCTGCTCTCTGGGGCAGAGCACTCAGCCAGGCCTGAGTTCTCAATTCTTCGCATTTGATGTTTTTCAGATTTTACAAGAACGGGGTTCAAGGATGTGAGGACGGTCTTGACAGCTGAAGAAATGATTTACTTTTTCCCAAGATTCAGTGAACCGCCATGTCCAGGAAGCTTGGCTGTGAGAAGAAACCTGCTTTTGATCATTTCTCTAGAGATCTGGGTGTGGATCCTTTTTTGCCTTGGAGGTGGGTGGTGAGAGACAGCCCAGCTGTCAGGCAAGCCATGCCCATGGGGTGGAGGTGGGGGGCTGGGTGGGCTGTCTCTGGGGGCCTGCTCTGTTCTTTCCAAGTGTCACGTGGGACTGAGGCAGGATGTTCCTGACCAGCCGTGCAATCCTGAAGGTTATTTCTAGGGTGGGGCTCTTGGTGCTACATACACAGTCTGTGATAAGTGACCCGGGCCTCAGTGGGAAGAAGAGGCAACAGCTGTACCAACTGTCCAGCACACCATGGCTTGGGGTCTAGGTACCTGCTGGCCCCTGCCTGAGCACCAGACTCTCATCTTCAGGTCAGAGAGGCTACTCTGCCTCCAGTGTGATCAATTGGCAATTTCTTTCGACCTTGGCTAAGGCTCCCGACAGAGGTAGCCTCTACGTTGCTACTACTTCCTGGGCACCTGCTCTGAGGCCAGGCCACCTTCCGGGCAAGGCTTTCCTCCCGACTTCGTCGGCTGGACAGTCAATGCTTCTCAATTTGTATTTTCCAGGCAAGAGAAGTTTGTAACCCTTTTTTAAGCGTGGATAGACTACCTAATGTTTATACTCTTCAGAAATGCCTAAAAGTGTTGCTAGGTTTTGGCTTGGTCTGTTGTTAAACCAGTTATTGGGAAATGGAAGTTTTGCCTTGTCCGTCCCACTTGGGGGCTTATAGGGGAGCTGGTGCCCACCAGTGCCTTTGTTGCACCCGGGATGGAAGCTGGGGAGGTAGCCTGTGCACCTGGCTTCTGGAGCTGACACTCTGGGTCATAGTGAAGCTCAGGATGTTTACAGTGCATCACACGTCTGTCTGTCTGTCTGTCTCTCTCTCTCTCTCTCTTTCTCTCTTTCTCTCTGTCTCTTTCTCTTTCTCTCTTTCTTTCTCTGGCTTTCGTTTCCTGTATAACTATGCAGATCTTCTCTGATGTTTCTGGTGTGTTTGAAACGCTACATGACCTGCACGGTTCCACCTACCTGGTGTGACTTGGAGCCCACTGTCTGCCTGCTTTGAAACCTTTCTCAGCTGGTTGTGGGGACATGTCTGCCTGGGGACGTGGCCCAAACAAGCAAGCTCTGCTGTAGACTTCTGGCTTCCCGAGGGAGCTGTGCAAACTGACCACGGGGACTGCCCAACTGCAGCCTAGAACCTCTGACATGGGCTCATTTCAAATGGTCCTGGAAACCTCTTGCCTAGTCCCTCTTCTTTCTCCTTTGCCAATAACCTGATTAACCAAGATTTCCAGTGTCTAGGACTTACCTCTTTTTTTCATGAAGTCTCTTGTATGTTGTTTAAAGAATTCATGAAAATGTTTCTAAAGGTCAGAAGTAGCCACTGGCTGACCCTGTCCTCCCAGTGGAGCCCCAGCTAAAGGTGGCCCTACTGTTAGCTGTGGGGACATACTCCAGGGAGCTGCCGGGCGCTTAGCGTTGTTTGATTTATGACCTTGACATGGGCTGGGGATTTGGCTCAGTGGTTCTGGCGCCTGCCTCGCAAGCGCAGGGTCCCGAGTTCGATCCCTGGTACCAAAAAAAAAGATAGAATATGACCTTGGCATATAATAGGTAGGCTTGTTTTTTTTTTTAATTTAAAAATATTGACTTATTCACAAAAATTTATTCCAAGGGGATATTTATACTTTTATACTTTTTTAGGTATCCGTATTTTATCAGCTTACTGTTTAATGTCTAAGTTTCCCCTGATATTAGCAAATAAAACTGTGTATTTATGAATGAGCCCAGCAGCTGTTAGTGTCTTAAAATGCATGGAGAAGCCGCAGCTGGAACCACCGTCCAGCTGCTCAAGCCAGGGTACCCCCTGCAGGTCCTGGTTCTGGCTTCTAGTCAAGGAAGTCCCTGTTGCCAGTGTACCCTGAAGGGTTCAGCTCTCTGATTGTCTGCTGCCGCCAGTGAGCCCTATTTCTAGGCATGTGACCAGCCCAGCCAGGGCCTTGGCAGCATGCCCAGTGTGAGGTGTGGGGTAGGGGCTACTTGAATGGGGACAAGGCCTAGGCTTTTGGGTGTCCTGAATGCAGCCTAGAGCACATAAGGGAGAGATTTAGATTTTTTCCTCAAGAGGTTTTCTGGTGGCAGCTAGGACCTGTATGTGCCCTCTCTGGCCCCTTAGCCAGACACGGCTCTGGGTGCTCAGGCCTCCATGTGGTAGTGTCTCTCGTCAGAGCCCAGAGCATGTCCTATCAGAGCTGAAGGCTACAAAGAAGACAGGCCAAAGGCCTTAGCAGAAAAGGACCCTACACCCCTTAGGGACAGCTGCCTGCTATAGGATGTCTGGAGAGGGCCGAGGAGCACTAGCTCTGGCCCCTTCAAAAATCCAGCAGAGCCAGGTGTGGTGGCATATGCCTGTAATCCCAGCACTCAGGAGGCTGAGGCAGGAGGATTGCCGTGAGTTTGAGGCCAGCCTGGGCTACATAGTTCAAGGCTGGCCTGAACTACATAGACCCTGTCTCAAAAAAAAAGCCCAGTGGAGAGGCAAGGTTGGCTTTGTGTGGATTTCCCAGTGCCTGGACTTCTGGTTCATGTCTGGAGCCTTCTAGGACTCTTTGGGGGCAAGAACCACACCTTGGGTTGGCTGGTCCCCTGGAGCCTGCCATGGTGATAAAAGCCCCAGTGCTGCCACCTGGGGACAGGTGTAGAGTCTCTGGCATTGAAGGCTCCCCTTTAGTTTCTTCCTTCCCCACCTCCTACCTGCCCACCTTTGGAGCACCTGCATGTTGAATGGTGATGTCTGGCAGGGTCATTTTGCCCTCAGATCATCTGCCCCCACACATGCTCCTGGGCTTGGAGTTGACCCTCACCTGAGGTCTTGAGGCCACCAGGGGCCCAGCCCAGCCATTTTTCTTCCTGTGGCTTCATAGGCTGATTGTGATGCCTGTGCAGCTGGGGAATATGTACATGGTGTGTGCTTGTGTATGTGTGTTCATGGATGTGGGGCAGCACACATGTGTTGCTGTTTTGGTATCACCTGCCCCCACTGAGGCTGGTTGAGGTAGCTTTCCACAGTGGTCCTGCCTGAAGGAAGACTGCAGTCCTGTCCTCCACGTGGCTGTCCTGGTCTATGTTAGCAGCTCCCTTCAGTGTTCTTCCTACAGCTGGCAGCCCTGATGGAAGATTGCTGGTAACTGCTTGGCAGATGTGTGGAGAGTTATATCTGAGTTGTGCCCTGACCCTGGGGTGCGGAAGGGAGCCTGTGGTAACCTGGGCATTTCTCTTCTACATCCTTCTCAAAATACTGAGCTTAGTATAAGCTGTGAATTGCATGGAATAAACCTGTTTTCCTTTTCTACCCCTGGTTCTGTGAAGAGTTTTTCCTGCTTCCTGTGGACAGCTGCCTGTGGAATCTCTTCCCTAGGGTTGGCCAGCAGGTCGAAGGGGTCTAGGTGGGGCATGTGACTCTGCCTTCTCTAACCTCCTCCACCCTACCTTGGCCAGGACTCCACACACAGCCCACAGCAGTGCCTGGTCATCTGGGCCTGTCTCCGGGACCCTACAGTCTGCCCTGCCCTATTATCTGGGCTCTGGCACACTGCCTCCTATCGGACAGATGAGTACCTTTCCTGACCAGATACCCACCCTGGTCTGGAGCAGGAACTCAGCAATTGGCCCATCCCCAGAGGTCACCGAGTGCCTGATGGGCAGTGGTACCTGAGCCTGGGCAAAGTGGAGCCCAGGGAGATTTCTGATGTTTTGTCCCCACTGTGTCCCCAGGCCAGACCGCAGCAGGTGCTTGCTAAGTGGTCATCTGTTTCATAGGTAACAGTGCCTGCTTCTCAGCACTAGGCAGGCAGGTAGTGCCTGTGTGTGTGCACCTGAGCGTGTGTGTGTGAACGTGGCTGTGCACACATGTACAAGTTCACCCCTCCTAGTAGCTTCAGACTTGAGTGGGAAGGTCAGGGCTAAGGGATGGGATGGTAGGAAAGGAGCCTTGGGGTCAAAGGGAGAACAAGGGCCTGGGCTGGTCCTGGAGGGGTCTGAGTGGAGTGGAGGGTCAGAAAACAGCCTGGACATGCCTCAGGGTGACATGGCATTGTTTAGAGAACTCGGGGGGATTCTGGAGGGACACTTGGTGGAGACCATGGTTCCCCTAGCACAACCCTCCCCTCACCCTCCTGAGTGTCCTCCTCTCCCCTACCCTGGGCATAGCTCCTGCAGTGGCACTGGTTGTCTGTAACCGACTTTCTGCCTGTGTCTGTCCACAGGGCCTGTCCAGGGCAGCCCATAGCAGAGGATCAAGGTCAGAAAACTGAGGCATAAGGTGACATCAGGGTAGTCTCCTGTGAGAAAGTCTGGAACAGTGTCATAGAGACTCAGTGACATCCTAGGCTGTCCCATCATACCAGGAACTAAGTGTCTGAATCTTCTCCCATGTCACAACTCCCCACCCCCATACTCCTCAAGGATTTTGAACTGGACAGTTGGTACTGATTTTATTGAAAGTGAACATAAATTTAAAAAATCTAGGTGTTTGAGATAGGGAGGATGAAGAGCTATTTACACATGTACACCATGGGTGGCGTGTGGCCCAGTGATGTGGCCTTAGAGGATAGGCAGCACCTCAAGGATCAGCAGGGCCACGTGGAACAGCCAGGTGGGGTGCTAAACTCGCAGTGATGGTCTCAGGGTTCTTGACTAGTGGCCACCTGCCCTGCCTGACTGGAACCTTAGGTCAGGGATGATGCGATGGATCCAATTATAGTGTGAAGTGACCCGGATGTAGACACCAGGGCGGTTCCGACGGGCACAGCCCTCGCCCCAGCTGATGACGCCAGCTTGCACCCATGCCTGGTTCACTAGGCACACCAGGGGTCCCCCAGAGTCACCCTGTGGGGGAAGCAGAGGCCCTGAGAGCTCACCCAGCGCCACCAATCCCAGGGCACATGACCCTGGCTCCAGCCTGTCAGCGTCCCCCCCCAACCCTTAATAGGGTACCCCAGGTTCCCTACTTGTCCACTGGTATTGGGGGATGTTAAAAAATGCAGCTTCCTCAGCCCTAACCCAAGGACCAACTCAAGGTGGGGTCCAAAGGTGCTCTTTCCCTATAAGCTTCCAGGCTGATGGAACACAGCATCCCACCCTGCCCTGGGCCTGGAGGTCAGTCCGGGTCATGCTCCCTTCCCACTCTTACCTTGCAGGCATCCTTCTTGCCCTCAGCAAAGCCTGCACAGAGCATGTCATCCTTGATAGCTTTGGGTTGGAAGCCAGACTCTGTATCTGTGCTGTAAAGCAGGTTGCACTTGGGTGTGTCTATAATAGGGACAGCAAGTTTCTGCAGGATCCGTGGGTTGGGCAGGCGGTCTAGGGGTGGGCAAGCCAGTGGGCAGTCTTTAGCAGAGACCTGTGGCTCTGAGTTCCCAGAACCACAATGCAGTCTGTTCCTACCCAGGCTTCCATTGTGTTTAGAGCTCTCATGGGGCTGGGCTCCTCCCACCCTCTGATCCCCAAACTGGCTGTTGTGTCTCCACATCTGCATGGCTCTACACTCTGGGGCAGATGTCCTTTCTTATCCCCACCCTACCTGTTTTGAGTAGAGATCTCATGTACCAGTATCAAAAGAAAGATTGTTGGTTAAGAGTAGCCCAGTCTCCTCTGGACATTTTTTAGGCCATCCTCCTTTCTCCCTGGGCTCTGCTCCCTTACCTTGTTCACTAGGGCTGCCCCAGCCAGTAACCCAGCAGTTCATGTCCGTCTCAAAAGTGACTGAGGGGTCAGGCATGCACACGGGGAGGATGTAGTTGGAGAAGATCACTGGTGCCTCCAGCTCTACCAGGGCCACATCTGCACTGGAGGCCATGCCCTGGTACAGGGGGTTGCTTTCTACCCGTTTCACGCGGGTGTAGATGGCATGGGGCCCTGGCTGCAGCAGCTGCCTTGCCCCCAGCAGCACCTGGTACAGGGAAGTTTCAGAGGTGCTGGAGGGAGAGAACAGAGGCCTAGTGTGGAGAAGGGGATGAGTAACAGGGAAGCTGTTGTGTGCCTCTGGCCCACCACATTTCCTGATGCTTCTCTGCATGTCATGTTCAAAAACATCTTCAGGGGGATATTCTGCAAGGTCAGGGTGTAGAAGCTACAGTGAGATCACTCACCTTTAATCCCTAGCTCTGTTCCTGGCCACCAGGTGACCTTGGAGAAGTCACCTAACAAGTCTGTAATTTCAGTTTCCTCGTCTGTAAGGTGGGGACAGTGACAGTTCTACCAGAAATGCCTGCTTTTGAGAGCTGAAGGAGATAACCACCCACAGGTACCATGGAGCCCAGCCCTGCTCTGCAGCCTAAAGCAGCCACCCACTCTGAGGGTGGTGAGTAGAAGGTGTGGGTTTTTAGGAAAATCACAACTGCAGTAAGGTGAGAGGTGTGGGAACCCCAGAGGTCTGGGGTCAGGTGGTTCATAACACAGTGGTGAAGACTGGGAGCCTGGCCACTTTCTTGGGAATTACGAGGAGACCTTGGGGGAGGAGGAAGGAAGAGATGTTCTGTTCCAGTCCTTGGGTTTAACTGATTCCAGAGTCCCAGAAAGGGTTTTGGACTCAAGGTTGGGGGAAGACGGGGAAGAAGGCCAGAGTGTGAGGGGAGCCTGGAGCATTTGCAGGGGCCCAGGTGTGGGACAGTACCTCATTGGCAGGTCAGCTGGTGCAAGCCAGGGCTGGGGCAGCAACTGCAGCTGCAGGTTAAGTTAGTTCTGGGCCTGGGCCTAGAGGAAACCTGTGGCTGGGAAAGCAGGCAGGTGCAGGACCAGGCTGCCAGGGCCCACAGCGGCTTGTGGGTCTGCCTTGGGCTGGATGCTGTCTGTGGTGCTACACTAACTGGGCACCAGGCTCCGTCTTATCCCTGCCGGGTGGGGCAATCGGGTGGAGACACAGTGGACCCGGTTCACTCACTTGGAGAAGCAGTGCGCTGCGGTGAGTACCCACTGTTCTGTGATGAGGCTGCCCCCACAGAAGTGACTTCCGTTGCGCTGGATGCTAACCTGCCAGGGCCATTCGCCCTCCATGGCATCCTGCCCACCCACCATCCGGTTCAGCATCTTCCGGTGCCCGCAGACTGCAGGAACATGGTGGAATTACTGGGGGCTAATTCCATGGTTCGATTCCAGCCCCAGTCCCACATGCCAGCTTCCACTTTCTACCTGATTCCTGGCCTTCCTGGCCCCTGATCTGCTCAGGGACCTTGGAAGTCAGACCTTCCCTTTCCCTAACCTGTGAGCCTCAGTCCCTCAACTGGGAAGAGGAGCCATAGGACCTGCTTCTCCAGTTCTTGGGGATTGAGGCAACAAATGGAAAGGCCCTGTCCCTGGTCCTGACACAGCTCCCGGAAGAACAGCTGGTGCGTTTTCTCTTCACAAAATTGGTAGCCCAGAGGAACAGTTCTCCTGCAACCAGACCACCTCTGACTTTGGGGTTCCCTGGTGCCCTGTGCCTCCCTTCTGGGCCTTGTTCCACATGTGTGCCCATGTATGGGGTCCTCCACCATCCTACAGCTCAGTCACACCCACTTACCTACTGGTGCCTTGGCCCCCTGAGTCCCTGGAAGCAAAGAAAAGGGGTCATCAGCCTACTTTGCCAAAGCTAGGGTTCATTCCACCCTTCATCCACCTGCCTGGTCATCACCTTGGTCTCCCCCCATCCTCTCCCTGCCTCTGGAGACTCAGGAGGGACAGTCACCAAGGCATCTGGCAGGAGAGGCCAGGAGCCCTGTTTCCCGCAGGCCTGGCTTGTGGGCAGAGCTTATCTGCAAAAGGACAAACAGGCCACACGTGGAGTTGACCAGAAGCCAGTGCAGTGACCCTATGGCTTGACATCTCTGAACCAGGATGACTCCCTCCTTGTCCCTGCAGGGTTCCTATCTCTCCATCCTTGTCTGGACTCACCCCCCAGCAGGGTGGCTAGACCTCTAGCCCTTGTGACATGGGGTCTACTTTCTCTGCGGCAGTGTTCTATCAGTGAATGTTCTAGAGAGAGTGAGTCCTAAAGTCTTAACTGGTCCTGAACCTACAGGAGCTCCTGCCCTCGAGAAGCCACCATGAGCCAGTATCCCAAAACTCCACATTACCCAGAGCTGAGCCATCTCAGGCCAAGATCCCCTGCTGTCCTCAAACCTGCTGCTTAGCTTTTAATGCAGCCCCAGAGGCTCCACCCCAGGTTCAGAGTTCAGCCAGGGGGTCCCCTCAAGAGAGACCTCTCTGCCCCACTCTTTCTGTCACCTGTTCCTTGTGGCAGGTCCAGCAGAGCTGAAGAGAGGACAGCCAGGTCTCCCTATGCCCCACGCACTTGAACCCAGAGTATGGGGCCAGAAATGGTAACCAGTCCTAGGGTACTGATGAGCTGCAGGGAACAGGAAGTGGCCTTAGTGAGCCATGCATGGCCTAGGGTGCCTGAGGATACTGGAGGTCTTACGGGACTTCATTCTTCCTGTCAGGCTCCCAGGCTGTAGTCCTCAGTGTCACTGGAGGACAGAGAGGTGGGTACTGGACAGGGCACGAGGAGGAGCCTGAGAAGGCACAGCCAGCCTGGCTGCTTCTCAAAGTAGGGATGTCAAGCAGATTGGGGATCGAGTGTGCTAGCCCAGGTGGGCAACAAGGAGCAGATAACTTGTGTTCATAGTATCTCCTTTGAACATGCCCCAGGAGGGTTATCCTGGCCTCTTCGTGTAACATTGTTTGATGCTGTTTCCAACACCTGACCCTCTTCCCTTCCCGAGGATTCTGCTTCCAAATGCTCCCAACCCACCCACCCTCCTCATTGACACTAACATCTTTTAAGCCTCTTTCTCCTCTCGGTTTTCCCTGCCTCAGACTCTCCACAGCAGCCCCTCCCCCTTATGCATGTCCATCTCTCCCACTACAGCTCAGCTGCTTCTCACTTAGGATGAACCTCCTGGCCTCTACAGGTTCTAATCCAGATCAAAGCTTCACCAAAGTCCTGCCTTCTCCAGGAAGCCCTCCCTGTTTGTACTCTTCATCTTGGGAGCCTCAGTCCCTCCCTTGAGCTCTTTGTCTTTCCACTGGGCATTGCATCTCACCCCTAGGCTCAGTCCCAGGAGCCCTGGCAAGGCAGAGCCTACATCTGCAGTCCTGAGCTCGGGGAATGTGGGGGACTGAGCAGGAGAGCGAGGCTTTTGAGGGGTGGGCATCCTGTCTAGCTGGAGGGCACAGTCAGGGTGTCAGATTCCCATCCTGGGCCCAAGACCCCTGGTGTCCCTGTAGCTGGTAGAAACCCCTGGGATACTGGGCCTGCAAGGGCTGGTGAGGACAGCTTCTAGGATTGAGCCAAATGCAGCTGCAGTCCCCATTCTGGTAATGACCTCGATTGCACAACCTGCTGGTACAATCGAGGTGTTATACCTTGTGCAAATGGGCTCAAAAGATGCTGTTATCTGCCACTGTGGGGAGCCTGTCTGGGGAGGCTAGTCAGTGAGACTGGGGAGGTTGAGTCCTCCCCACAGAGGAGCCCCCTAGCTCTCCTGCCTCACAATGAAAAATCTCAAGCCTGGCTGAGCTGTAGTAGTCTGGGGTGACCTGGCCTGGCCCTGGGAGGTGACCTCAGGACAGGGAAGTGGCTGCTGGGCTGGCCTGGCTGGCCCAGGAATGTGGGAGGGACCCACTTTGTGGGGAGGGGCCTAGCAAGAGGGGCCCTGACTGGACCCTGCTGACCCCAGCCATGGATGGCAGTATGTTATCTGCTTATCTATCCACAGGGGAGTGGGACTTAGCAACTTACACCCCCTCTTATGCTACCAAGCTCTTTGCTGAGCCCAACCTGCCTCCAAGGGGCCTAGGCTTAGGTGGCAGCCCCTGCTCAGCCTTATTTCTGGATCAGCTATGGTGGCCCAGGGACTTGGAGTCCAGGAAGCCCAAGTTCAAATCTTGCACACATGGAGCTCTTCATCTGGTGAGTGGGGGAGCTTCAAATCCAGAGCCAGGTAATGCTGGTTGCTGCCCCAGGTTCCTGGCGTGGGGTCCACTCTGGCCTAAGCCTGCCTCAGGACTCCCGGGTGAAACGTTTGGAGTGTGCCTACCTAACCAGGGGCCCCCACCACTGGGGCAGGAAGTGGTGGCCTGGCTGCAACTCCTGGCAGGGAGAGGAGACCCAGCCTCACCAAGAGGGAGACTCACCAAGCCTCAGCAGTAGGAAGAGCAGGAGCAGCAGGAGAGGTGTGGGTTCTGGGTGCTTCATGTCCTCCGGCTGGTGAAGCTGGGCCAGGGTCAGCAGTGGTAGAGGGAGCGCCTGGCACTTGCGAGGCACTAGGCTCCATGAAGAGGGGTTTTATGCTGGAGGTGAGTGTTGGCTGGGCTATGCCACCCAACCTGTTGGCCTGCTCCACCCAGTTCTGCTCCAGCAGGAAGGAGGCTCCCTGAACCCCAACTCTGACCTGGTCCTGAACCCCACAGGCCAGACCCCTCACCCTAACACACCTGCCCCATCAAGGGGCTTATGGCTTGGAGGTCCCCACCATGAGCTGACCAAAGATTACCCCCAGCAGGTCCAGACCCCTCTCAGCTGACCACAGCCCCCACATGAACTGGCCAGGTCCATGAAGGAGTCACTGCCTGCTTTGTTTATTCATTTGTTCACTTAACATATATTGAGAACCTACTGTGTGTGTAGCTTCAGTGATCTACAGTCAGTCAGAACTTTACTCTGATAGGAGGGCAGACACTAAGGGTTAAGGTCAGGAGAACAACTAAGAGCAGGGCAAGGGGACTGGGGACCTGGGCTAACCCTTGCCCCCCACCACACTCCTCCTGCGAAGTGGACCCAGCAGCCCCCACTCAGTGCAAATCCTGGGGACCCACCCTGAGTGTCAACCCTGGCCCAGCTGCACCTGCTATAGGCCAGGTGGGAGGGGCGGAAGCTGGTTCCAGGAAGGTGGCTGATAACCAGCCCAGTGGCAGTCCTGTCTCTGCCCGGGCACTCCCTGGGCTCTGGGACATGCAGCCATGGCGGGAGGAAGGTATGGTGGGAGGAAGGTATTTGAGGCACGGGGCTGACGTCAGAGCTGGAGTTATGGCTTGGGTGGCTACTCCCACCAGCTGCAGCATGGGGGGAGGCAGACAGCAGACCTAATGAGGTTGCCTCAGTTTCCCCACTGACCTTGGCCTCTCTTAAGTCAGTGCAATCCTTACCCTGCCAGCCACTGGCCCTCTGCCCTCTGCCCCAGGCTCTCCCTGCACTTCACAGCTGCCTACACCGGAGGCTACATCACCACACTCTCTGGGTGCTGGCCTGCCTTTACCTTTGGCCCACCCATTCCTCCCCTGTCCCTGCGCCCCTGGTGGCACAGATGCTGGGCTGCCCCTTGTGGCAGGTGGGAGGATTTCACACTCATTCGGTCACTCGGCAAGTCTTTTGGGGGCATACTGATGCCCAGTACATCTAGGTATGGGGGTAGAGAGGTTAACAGAAAACTCATGGGGCCAAGGAGTCACTTAAGGGGAAAAAGGACCTAATTACGCACTGAAAGTCTTTCAAAATGTCCAGGTGGGTGGCCACACTTCTCCAGGCACCCAACTATCAGTTTGCCTCATCTCAGAGGCGGTTTCAGATGCTCCGCTCCAAGGCTAAGGACTTCTTCTAGGGCCTCTGTCTTAGGTGTCCCTGACCTCCTTCCTTATTTACTTACTTATTGGTTTGTTTTATCTTAGAGACAGGGTCTTGCTATGTAGTTCAGAGTGGCTTTGCTCTTACTATGTAGCCCAGGCTGGCCTTGAACTCTTGGTGATACCCCTGCCTTAGCCTCCTGAGTGCTGGAATTATAGCAATGCATTATACCTAGGCTCTTCCCCATTTAAGTTTTCCTTAAAATCAAGCTTGAAGTGCTTAAGAAGTTGGTCAGAAGGCTGATCGTGGTGGTGCAGTCCTAGCACTTGGGAGGCTGAGGCAGGAGAATTATGAATTGGAGGCCAACCTGAGCTACATAGTTTAAGACTACCCTGAACTACATAGTGAGACCCTGTTTCAAAAAACCAAATAAAAAAGGGGGGTGGGGTGGGGATGTAGTTCAATGGCACCACACCTGCCTGGCAAGCCCAAGGTTCTGAGTTTGATCCCTGGTTCTGCCAAAAAGAAAAGAAATTGGTCAGAAAGCTGGGCATAGTGGCCCATATCTCTAATCCCAGCTAGTCAGGAGGCTGAGTCAGAAATTGCAAATTTGGGCCCAGCCTAAGCAATTTAGTGACTTATCAAAACTGTCTCACAAATAAATTAAAAAGGGCTGGGGATGTAGTTTAGTGTGAAAACCCTGAGTTCAAACTGTAGTATTGAAAGGAAAACAGGAGGAGGAAGAGGAGGAAAAAGGGGAGGGAAGAAAAGGAAGGGGGGGGGAGAGAAAGAAAAAAGAAATTGGTCAGAAAAACAATGGACCCTAGTGATAAAATGGGTGAAAGACAGACAGGTTGCTGGAGAGGAAACTAATTTGGCTAATGGACTTGATGAGAAATGTTCAGCCTGAGTAATAATTAAATGCAAATCAAAGCCACAGCAAGATGATGCCAGTTTTCCCATCTGAGTTAATGCAGAGCTGGAACAATGTTATTAGTCAGGGCCACCTGGAAATGGGTCAGCAGGTGGGCATGGAACTGGCCCTTTTGTCCCTGTGTCCATTGCATATTGAATGTCACTGGACAGCTATTCAATCCTAAATACAGAAAACATTTTGACCAAAGGTGTCAGTGGCCAATTTATTTATATTTGCAAAAACAAAAATACTTGCAGGATGATGGCAAATATGTACTCCAAATAGAATTTATAAGAATGATATTTTTAACTGGATGTAGTGAGGAATTTCTTTAATTCCAAATACTGGTACCATTGTTGTCTAAAGTGCTAAAAGAAATTGGTCAGAAAGCTGGGCAGAGGGGTGTATACCTCTAATCCCAGCTAGTCAGGAGGTTAAGGCAGGAGGATTATAAGTTTGAGCCCAGCCTGGGCAATTTATTGAGTCTCAAAAAAGAAGAGGGCCAGGGAGGGCCTGCCTGGCAAGCACCAGGTCCTGAGTTTGATCCCCAATACCCAAACAAAACAAAACAAGGAAAGTATAAATATTTGTAGAAAGTGCAGTAACTACAAAATTTTAAATTTAAAAAGAAAAAACGGGATTTGGCTCAGTGGCATCACACCCGCCTTGCAGGCACAAGGTCCTGGTACTGGAAATAAAAAAGTTTTATAACAACAGCAAAATCATCCAAAAGAAAAGGCTGTAGAATGTTCATTTGTGACTAGTGGTTCTGAATTCATGTGGATTTCTTTAAAGAGCAGGTGACAGGGAGCTGGCCTAGACTAATGGTGTGCAGGGGGTATTCATGGTGAGGGTTCCTGGAACATTTGCATAGTGCTCCAGGACCCAGAGTGGAACTGACAAGCTCCTTATCCCACAGGGCTCCTGCTGCGCTCTCTGGCAATGCCCTAAGCTCAGCTCTCTTGAGATGACACCCATCCCCCCCCACACATACCCAGCCAGGGTAGGGGCTGCTGGCTGGAGTCTCTTCTTCAAAGAATTCCAACTAAGGTCCAGAGCTTCCCACCTTCTCATCTCCTGGCCCATTCAGTGTGGATGGTCCCAGAATGGGACATTAACTGGCCCAGCTGGACTCCTGGCTCTATGGTTGACCCATATGGCCACAAAGAGGAGGAGGACAGGTGCAAGTCAGTGAGAAGCAAGAACACTACACTCTCTGGTAAGCATAATAATGAAATAAAGACATTTTCATGCATGAAAGTTCTCAAAAACTTTACCCCCAACCCCCACACTACTCTTAGGAAGCCATTGGAGGAAAGGCATTCTCCAAAGGAATAAATAAAATATGAAAGAAGAAGATATAGGCTGTAGGAAACAGACACTGAGGCTAGGCATAGTGGTACCCACATGTAATTCCAGCTATTTGGGAGGACTGAGGCGGGAGTATCATGAGTTCTAGGCCAGCCTTGAACTGAGACTCTCAGGGTGTGGGGAAGGCTAACCCAGTGTGGTGTCCTATTCCAGCACTCTTGAGAGGCTGAGGCAGGAGGATCAAAAGTCTGAATCCAGCTAGGCATAGTGGTATATGCCTGTAATTCCAGCGCTTGGGAGGCTGAGACAGGAGGATTCCTGAGAGTTTGAGGCCAGCTTGGGCTACATAGTGAGTTCAAGGCCAGCCTGAACTTCATAGTGAGACCCTGTTTCAAAAAAACCAAACAAACCACTCGATGGGATTCTACTTCCCCACTGAAACTGATATTCATGAATGAATTTTACCCAAACAGATAAGAGCTATCTTAGGTTGATGTCACTTCAAACATGAGGAATAAAAAAATATTCTTCACATTGATTCAGCAAACATCATTGAAATAAGAAGCAAATGAATGTGGAAAACAGTGTATGTTCCTATCATAAAAGTTTTTACAATACAAAGCTATAAACATATGGGAAAAATAAAAGGATATGTTTATAACCCTGAAATATAGAGACAAAATTCAAACATTAAAATGATTGAAAAATTTAGCTGGATATAGTGGCACATGACTGTAACCCCACTGAGGATTATGTGTTTAAGGCCAGCCTGAGCTACATAGCAAGATTGTCTCTCTCAACAAAAACAAAAACAAAAAGATTAAAAATTTTGGGCTAGAGTGGTAGCTCAGTAGTAGAGTACTGTGTAGCATGTGTGAGGTCTTGGGTTTGATCCTGTTATGGCTTGTGTCTAGATGTCCTCCAAAACCCTTATTTGGTCATATGTGGGGCTTTTTCAGAGGTGACTAGATCTAGACTGTTTGATGCTGGGATCAAGGGTGTGTGATTACTAAATTAGTCCTGATTGATTTGGCATAGTTCTTTGAATGGATAATGGGAAGGCCCTTCCTGGGTGTGAGTACTATCTGCATTAAGGGTAGGTAGCCTGGGTAGAATATAAGAGACAGGAAGAGGGCTGCTGTAGTTGCTGCTGCTGCTTTGCTGCTTCCATTGGTTTGCTACCTTCTGCCTGCCATGGACTGTTTCTCCTCTGCGACCGCCCTCTTGCCAAGGCCCACCTTGCCTTGGAGCCAGCCAACCATGAAGTGAAACCTCTTCAAACTGAGCTGAAATAAACCTTTCTTCCTTTAACTTTGGATGTTGGGTATTTTGTCTTAGCAATGAGAAAAATAATAAGACAGATCCCTAGCACTGCAGGGAAAAAAAGAGATTGAAAAATTGAAATATAGTGCAAAATGTGGTAGCACACACCTATAATTCCAGCCCTTGGGAGGCTGAAGCAGGAGGATTTCTGTGAGTTTCAGGCCAGCCTGGGCTACATAGTGAGACCCTGTCTAAAAAAAAAAATTAAAAAATGCAAGTAGGCTTCAACATACAGTTGAAGTCAGTAAATGTAATACATCAAATAAAGAGGTGCAAGGTCACAAACCACATGATCACATCAATAGACACAGAAAAGGCTTTTGACAAAATCCAACACCATTTCACGATAAAACCCCTGAGGAAAACAGGTATAGAAGGACCATACCTGATTATGATAAAAGCT